GTTATTTGGTTTGCTTTTCCCACGTTAGACGATGCTGCAACAGCCACGCAATGTCTGACTCACCTCCGTCTAAACCTTGAAGAAGTAAATTTCAGCAATAGAGTGTTCTCTGTAAATCGCAGATCCTAAAAATTATCTCCTCCCTTTTTTCTTCATTACATCCACAAAATTATAAATTATTTTGTTCTTCTGCATCAGCGAGTTTATAGCTGTCATTAAAAAAATTCCTTCTCTATTGCCATCGGTTTGGAAATGCTTTCCCTCACGCAATCAGTCTTAATTAATCAGGACACATAAACAGGGAAATAGGCCTACACAAAATGAAAAATATTAGTAAAGTACACATCAGAATAATTTGTAAGCTCCTAAAATGGCTGCAACAGAATGGGGGTTTTCAAATGACAACAAATGAGGTCTACCTGTAAATTTAGAAAAGGCAAGATCATGAGTAGGATGCCATAATTACAAAGTATAAAATACTTATCAGTGATAGGAACTCATGCCAACGGGGACTGTGACACTAGATTAAACAAAGCATAGAGGCAAGTAAAATGATAGAAACTACATTTTTAGGAGATTGAAAACATACTTATATTCACTACTTTACAAAATTATAATAATTGTTTAAAATCACCTGAATAGCACTACCCTTTTCAAAGAAAACTGCATAAAAAGGAAAATAAGAGAGAGAAATTAAAGTCACAGGTAAAAGACTAAGATTGTAACCAAAACTTTTTGAAGACACTATCTTAGATCCTCAGAGCACACAGGTATCTGAGTTAAAAAGACCACAGAATGCCCACAAGAAGCAGCGTGGCCGTGTGAGCCAGCACATTCAAGGATGTAATTGGAAGCCAGACTCAAAGTAGGAAACTAAAAAGAAAATCAGAAAATCCATGGAAATTTAACTTTTGGAAGACACAAATCCTGAATTAAACAACTGACAGACTGCAAGGAACAACTACCAAAGATGTAAAGGATTATTAAAAATATCAGAAATAGGAAACCTGCCAGAAGATATTTTTATGGTGTAAAAGACTCCTTTTAGTAAAAATAGAAACAACTAAACTAGTAATTTGTAGTGGTGTTTACTACAGTGGAAATATGTATTCTTGAGTTTAAAAAAAAAAGTAACATTATCTGAGATTGATAGCTGGAAGCAGAAAGCAGCAATTCAAGGTGTGTTACCTTGAATAACACAGGTTCCTGTGAGGGAAGGTACCTGGAGAAAGGGATCAGTGGTGAGCTGTTGATACCAATAAATAACACCAACCCATTCCAGTTGAGTGGATGGAAAGGGAACAGCCATGAGCTGTGGAATCCTGGGGAACACTGTCACACCATGGAGCTGGGAAACAGCAAAGGAAACTCTGGGGTACTAAGTACAAAATAACAACTCTGTTAACCAGTAGTTCTGTAATCACAGCAACTAATGAAGGCTCCTCCTATAACCAGCAGTTGAGTGACATTTTAATTGAATTATATTAAGGCTGCAGTGCGACTTCAGTCTTTATTACACCAAAGAATCCACAGAGGAAAGCCCTGGCTAAGGAGTGGCTTCTCTGCTATCTAATGAGACACTAAAACCCTTTGAAACTTTTAGGGTGCTTGGGTCTGGAGTGACTCCCAAGAGCTGGATCTGGAGTGAGCCTTGCCTTCCCTGCACACACTCAAGGGACCTCTCATCTGCCTTCTCATTTCCTGAATTCTGGGCTGCTGACTTGGACAAGATTTAAGGAAATTTCACACAGCCAAACCTTTATAGCATTAAATCTTGAAATAATAATTAAAAACCCCTAAAACCAAAAGTATGTAAAATGCAAAGGTAGCAATAAGATATTAAAAATATTTCAAGGAGCATGACCAATTTCATCCTACATAAATCAGCAATGCTGTCAGGGGGAGTGGCCTTGCCTTCCTCTTCCTCTCATCTTCACTGACTCCCACCAGTGAGCAGCATCAGCCTCAAAACTGCTCCAGGAAAAAAATGGTCACTTTTTAATTAGTTTGCCTGGTTCCAGTGCAAGGTGGGGCAGAGATGACTCTGCTGGCAGAAGTACACATCGATATCAGACTAAATTGAGTATAAAACTGCCTGGATCCTGACACGTTTAGTGCTAAACTTGATATTTCTCCACCTTTGTCATTTGTGAGGGAAATAGTTTCAGGCAGAGAACAATGTCTCTTGCTGTGTACAGTAATTTCTGCTTTCTTTCATGACCCATCTAGAAAAAAAAATATAATTAAGGCTACAGCAGTTGCCTTCTCTTTTATACAAACAGAATAATAAAACTAAACTCAGGTGGAAAATCAACATCCAGTTTCTACCCTCAGCTATTACTTCAAAAAGACCAATGGCTGCAATGAACATCCACTGTCAAGGGCTGGGCTGGCTCACCCCAGGCAAGCAGCTGCCAGCCTAAAGACTGATTTTCACCCTCCCTCTCAAGGACCTTAAAGGAATTCTGTATTTCAGCAGCCAAACAGCTTTGCTAGTGGGCAGCAGACACATTAAAGGCAGCTGTGCTATGGTGGTGTTGAAGAAGATGAGGGAATGTCCAGCACAGGAACTTGTCTCTCCTCAGGCCCTCACAATATTGGAAAAACCAAAGTGTGAATTAAAATCAGTGAAAACGCCTCTGGAGGAGGCCACCATCACTGTTTCCAAATAAAATTTAAAAATAAAAAGGAAGAATGGAAAAAAACACTTCTTTGTCAAATGGTGGAGGCTCTTGGTGCCTCCCTTTGTGCCTGGCTGAGTGCAGGGCAGCACAGGGGAAGCCTCTGGCCCAGGGAGGAATGGCACACATGAGACATCTCCACCCTCAGCAGCTCTGACTGCTCCAAGCAGCTTCTGGTGCTGCCTGGAAGAGACTCTTCTCATGCAGAGACACCCACTTATGTGCTTTGTGCTTGCTGTGGAAGCTGTTCTAAGGCACTGAAATCTTCTCCTGCATTGTTTAGGGAGATTGGACACAAGGCTTGCATAATGAAGCACTTCAGTCCTGTGACTCTGGGATACTGTAATTTGATTTTTCCCCACATACAGATGAGTGAAATCATGTATCTGTTTAGTAGAAATATTGCTGCAATTGAAAATTTATTTTAAGTTTCTAATGTCACTGAGTAGGTACAGTTTATGAAAGCCAAAGTCCTCTTCTGCTACATTAAAAAGGACAGACAGACCCCCCAACACAGCTCCATTAGAAACACCCTCAGCACTCCCACTGAGCTGAAGGTGCACATGTAGAGAGAACAGAGCAAACACCATGTTCTGCATGGTCTCTAATAATGATTTCAAACACCACTGTCAACAGGCAGAAAGTCTCTCCCAAAACCAGAGTGTGCCCCACCTTCACCCCACGAGTCACGGAAGCTGACGCATCGCACGGGATTCTTTTCAGCAACAGTAATTCCCTAAGACTTAAAACTAATGCATTAATCACCTTAATGGTAATCCATTAATGTGAAGAACCTGAAGATAAAAAGGCAGAATCAGGGATGTGCTCTGTAGCAATGGTGTTACAGTTCTAGGGTAATACTGAATTACAAAATTCGAATGACTAGAGGATTATCCATGCCAGCAGAGCGTGTGAAGTGAATACCAGGAGAGCAGAAAATGATGGCATAGAATATTAATATTTCTACACAGGGATTGGTTTATGTTGATGGTGTGATTCAGAAAGGTGACTCGACATGGTTGCTTCTTGAAATCAGGCCCAAAGTATTTAAGGACCAAAATCATTAACGTTTTATTTAAAGAGCGATACACTTGTTCACGTTGTGGCAGAATGATCCCTGTATACTGATCTCAAAATCTTTATATCAGAGGGAAGTAATGCCACCACTTTGAACACTTCCAGTTAATTATCACTAGAACATTTTGATAATGACAGTGTATTTTGCAATATGAACAAAATGAGGGAAAAAATAATGGAGTTTAGAAGGAAAAAAAAAGGCCAAACAACCCTGGGAGCACTGACTTCAACAAGTTCAACAAATATTCAAGCCACATTTAATAACTTTATAAAACTAGTATCAAAGTAAAGAATATATAGTCAAAATACAGAAATCAAGTTGAGTGAGAGAAAACAGCCTGATGAGATCAAACAGAAGTTAAACAGAACAGATTAATATAAACAAGTTAGCTGAAAGGTCGCTTTGCTTTATGTAGCACTATTTCAGCAACTCCTTTCCTCAACAGCCAGCTTAGAAGGAAAAAAAAAAAAGATATGCATCACTTTAAAATCCTGCTGTATGTTTACTGTGATTGTTTGTAGAAACAGCATCACCCCAATTTGCAACCCATGTTAATTTCTTATTTAATAAACGCAGTGGAATTTTTTTTTTTTAAGAAAACGAAAGTTCAGAATGAAGCGTCTGCATTCAGCTTTCCATTACACATACGTTTATCTTCTATTGGCTAGGAATTCTTTTATTTGTGAACTGCAAATTATTAGGATTTGCTTACACTTCTAAACCTTTTGTGTGCCATAGATACTTCACTTCTAAAAGTGTCTGGTGTAGCACTCACTAATTACAGAATTATAAAAGGTAGAATAAGGCTTTGCCCGCTCAGAAATTCGCATTTTTGGTAAAGGTAACAATATATCAGCATCACTAACATCTTAATAATAGGCATACATTTAATTTTATATCACCATCCTTCCAAAGAAAAAAAGAAAGACTAAAAGATGTGTGCAACTGGTTTTAGCTTAGTATAAAATTTTCAAATCAGAACTCATTCAGCTACAATAAACACTATGAATTACGCATAAACATAGATGGAAAACAATGTTCCAGGCTTTAAATAAAAAAAAAAATAGTTTAGCAGATGATGATCCTGTAGTGCTATTGTGCACTGTCCTGCAAGCCCCGAGATAAAACAAAAACAAAAAAAAAGAGGGGGGGAAAGGAAGGGAAAAAATAAAAAGGAAAAAAAAGAAAAAAAAAAAAAAAACCCGAAAAAAAAAACCAAAAAAACCAAAAAAAAAAAAAAAAAAAAAAAAAGAGGGGGGGAAAGAAAGGGAAAAAATAAAAAGGAAAAAAAAGAAAAAAAAAAGATAAGAAAAACCCCCAAACAAACCAGTTTTGATGCAGGTTTGGCATCAACTGCACGTTATGGTCTTAGCCTCAGTATGCTCTTTCTATGGTTGAGAAATTTAGAGTACCAGATTTTTCCATGTCAGGTAGCAGGTAGCTGGTGCATACATTTCAGACAAGAGAACTACGATTTCTTTAATTTGAGATGGGATCAATAATGCATTGTTAATATGTCCAAAGTGTGCAACAATAAGGCAGATTTCTTATTACACCACCCCTTAAAATACCCATTGTTTGATGAACCAAACAAGGTGCTTTAAACCAGCAGAGTAATAGGAGACAAGCAAGTGCCAGAATGAAGAAAAACTGCTAGAATGGGAACTGCCCTTTCTTTCACAAGGAGAAATAAAGAACTTTTGTATCTGGTATTTGAAAGGTTTTTAACAGCTGATATTCAATATCAGCTGATTCCTGAAGTGTTGGCAAGATACCAGGTTTCTGGTACTGGCCATGTCTAATGTTATTTAAATATTCACATCATGCAATAAGCAGTTTCACACTGCAATGTAATGGAAAATACTTCCTAAACTGAATTGGAACTGAGACCCAAAGCAGAACCAGTAAATAAATATCTCGCATATATGTCAAACTATATTCTCCAAACAAAACCTTACATCTTATCAAAGAAGTCAGAAAGTACTAACAAAAATTATATGCTTTCTACTATAATACTGTTAAATTTCCATGGCTGAGAATGTCCCATTAATTTTTTTCTGCCTTTTTAAGTTAGTTGACAAAGTAGAAATTCAAACACAGAAATAAAATGCATATATATGAGAGCACTGGCTCAGTGAGATATCAAATATACAGCATTCTAGTGTCAAAAGTACAGGCAGAAATGTCCAAGATTTCTTGGTGAAAAAGGGGCATTTGAGGAGTAAAAATTCTACTTAACAATCACTCACATTTTAACAGTGCATTAATTATAACAAAAGCTGGATGATAAGTGAGCAACAGAATCATAATGTTCAGTGTTCATAGCAGAACTTTATCCTCTGCTCATTTAAATGAGGTTGGAAACATATACTCATGTATGTGAAACTTTAAGTAGCTATGTTTGTTTTTTCAATTTTTCAGGATTCTTGCAAGAGGCAAACTTGTGACATGGAATTGAGCTGGATGTCAGCACAAGGTGGTGCTCAGAGAAGTCTTCCTCTCGATGCTGTGCCTCTGGCTTATCAAAGGATGATTAGTCCTACAATCTTGCTTGATCTATTCTTTTGCCTCTAGGAAAAGGGTTTCTTGAGGATACAGTTTTACCTCCAGTAATGATTTATTTGGATCCAGCTGGGTCACCTGTAAATACATGAACACAAAGATATGTGTAAGTAGACTTTTGGATTGTTTATCTTCACAGTGCAGACTTTTACTGGGAAGATTTTTGAGTCCTTCCATCAGTGATTACTGAAGTAGTGAGTATTATTTTTCAGGATGCAGATTAAGAAATATATATTGTGTTTTCTGCTGTTGTTACAAGTATTCTTTTGTAATAACAAGGAACAGAATAATAAAAAACCATAATCCCTGACATTAATTCCAAGAAGGTCTGGTTCTCTACCATAAACTTATCCACTAATCTATTTTTGTCAAAGTTAAGAACTTTTGGAAGGTTTACTAGAACACATGAGTTATGATGAAAAATAAAACTGCACTCCTAGACAATCATCCCAAAATTTCAGTCAAACTGATGGTACAAGCAGCATAGCCAACCCAACAGGATCTCTCCATTGAAAAGGAAAACTTTATTTTCCTTCTCCCTTTCTTGCTCCAAGTCACGTGGTGGAACACCCAGCTTCCACCCACTTCAATGCTTTCCTCAATCATCCCAGGCTGGGAAAAAACCTGTTTAATTGTGTGGTTATTACACAATATATTTACTTATATAGACAAATTAATGACAACAAGTGTCCCAGTGTCCTGACGTTCAGGTTTACAAGCCAATGCTGTGACATCCTTCAGAATACTGCAAAGCTTCATGAAGAAATATAAACCATTGTCTGAAATATTTTCCTTCAATTTTTAAAATTATCTTCCCTGATAATTCTGGTTTTGTTTGTTTTGCTGTGTGAGCACACCAGTTATCAGAAGTCTACTTGTGAATAATAGATTATTAGTCTTATACCATAGGTATAAATGCAGATGCATGCCAATAAGTATTTTTTCCAAAGTTAAATTTGTTTCATCTATGATCACAACATGCCACTGCTTTCTAAAAATGTTCTCAGAAAACATAAAGGGTCCAGCACATTAAATGCTATGAATTAGTAAGAAATGTTAGTGTAATTTTCTTAAAAGCCTAATTTACTAATCCTGTTACCTATTAACAAATAGGTAACATTTGTTATTTGTTTACCTATTAATAAATGGGTAACTTCTCATTCTCTCCCCCCAACTAAATCAGGCAAACTTGAAATATATTTGCTTGAATATATTTGGGAATTATTGAATAATTAGGGAAAAATTACTATTTAAACAAACATTCAAGGCTTATCACTTCCTAAGACCATCAAAATCACTGTACTTTCATCTGACTGCAGCAGATTTTTTTAAAAAATGAAATAATTAAAAACCGCAAATCAAACCCAAAACCAAACAGATGCATTATTTTTATTCTCAAAGCAGGAACGTATTTTCTTAAACTTCATGTACCATGGTGAGCTACTGCTAAATGTCTGAAGAGAAAAATAATTTACAAAAACCAGACTCAATTTTAGATTCCTATTATCTACAGTCCAATTATGCATTCCTGCACAGATGCTGCTTGAATTATTGAAAGGTTATTATCTACGAAAGCAAACCTGTTATGTAAAAAACAGCCAAAGTAGTGCATTTAAGTTTGTGATTACAGAAGTATGCTAATTAAGTATCTTGTAGCATTTTTTAATGTTTTGATATTCTGCTACAGTCTGTTATTGAGCAGGGAGTGAGGTAAAGAGGGGTCTGTGCCATTCACAGCTTCTGAGGCATTGGGCACCTGAGAGAAGCAATTTTCCCTTTTTTCAGTACAAGCCCATATTAATTTAGACATCTCTATTTTCAAATCCTGCAACCATTTTGTTGGAGTTTTTCATTTGCTTTTTTTTTTTTATTTTGCAAGAAAAGGCAGGAAAGTCACAACATGTCTCTTTTGCACTTGGAAAATAATCCCAAAAGTATGCTTGGGCACTGAACACAACCTTCCAGGCTGTGACCATATGGAAACGTGTTATTCACTTGAGTATAATTCAAGATACATGTCCTAAGGTTTGCAAACTTCAAGTGCCTTAAATAACAACAGAGGATGTTCCTTCCTCAGTGAGAAGGGTCCTAGGAGCCTTCTGGAGTACCTGCAGCACAAGGACTGTGCAGCTTTTCACCATAATTTCAGTGTGCTGCTTAATTCACTGAGGGACAGCAGAGTTTGCAAATGTTTACACCATTACCCAATTAACTAACAATATGGCTCCTACATCTGTCAACAAACAAAGCTGTTGTTGCTTTGTTTTAGCTCCTTGGCATTTTCTGTTCATATGGGTCGCCATTGTACTTAATTATCACACCACAACCCTTCTGCAGCTTCTACTTTGTTATTTGTGGCTTGTAAATATCTTGTTTACTACAAAGAATAGAAGCCTTATTAGTGAACACACCTCCTAGCAAAAGAAATGGTTTCTCTAGTAAATATATGAAGTATAAGACCTAAGATGCATTCTAACCTAGAGTATTTTAAATCAGAATTAGAAACCAAAGAATGATCTGTAAGAAAGATCAGAGGAAAGAGCTGTAGCCTGCAAAGGTGTGTTCAATGTAGATTTCTACAGAATCTCATTCACTTATATTTATATGCATTATTTAATAAAGAAAAGTATAGAATGCCTTTAGCTGTGTATCTGTGTGCCTTGTTTCATTACCATTAGTATAAATTCTGGAACCCACAGAGCTGACACCCTTTGGCTCTGATGCCATTGCATGATGCTCTTTCCAAAACAGCCCTGCACATGATATAAGTTACACTGTCCCAAAGCCCTACTCCTTTATTAGTTGAAGATTTATTCTATATTATTAGCAATTACACAGAAAACCAGTGAAGTATGCTTATATATTGAATCTGATTTCATCTGTTCCACCTATGTGGCAGAATGAACACCTTCTTGATCAAGGCTCAAAATTCACCTTCAGCATTAGATAATGGCCTTAACAAATGCAAAAGGTACATTTTAATCTGTATCTTCAAGTTCCTACAATAACTGACTTTCTACCAATCATAAGCACACTCTAGGAGTCATCCCATGCATCACACTGTGAAACCAGCTGAATGTATTTTTCAAATCTTTTGTGGGTTTGCTAATACCCAATACTTTATATTATAATGGAACATGAACTAAAACCCCTTGAAAAGAGACTGTAAAGTGTTCCCAGCTTATCTGGTGAGGAGGGTGAGCATAACATAAGTGACAGCAAAATTACTGACATTCAAGCTCAGAGAGCCCTGTGTACAATACCACGCAGGTGCATTCAGGGCTGTCCCAAAGCCCTGAACACAGAGAGTGCCCCAGGAGATTTTATCTTCAGGCAAATGACTTTCTGTGCAAAGCTGAACACTCCCCTCCCTTCAGGGAACACTCCTTCCAGCAACAGGACCAGAGGTGCTACAGGACTTTATTTCTGCCACAGTAGATCTTGCCATTGGGCTGCTTTCACTGAAATAGGTACAAGCTGATAAACAAAATTTTTTTCCAACTATGGATTCAGTTTTATGGGACCTTTATGGCTTCATCTTTTAAAGAGCTTTGTTACACAGCCAATGTCAGTTTGGTGCCAGGGAGGTTATCATTTAAGTATTTATTAAAGTGAATTCTGTGGTGATTATTCCAACTAAGCACCAGCTAGTTGAAGTACTTCTGTGCCACTTAGAAGTTCAAATTATTTATGACTCTGCAAGGCACAAGGTAGTGATGTTAACTCTTATACTCCTCCTGTAAGAACGTAGTAGCTGCTTACACTTCATTCTGAGTAAATTAATTGGGTTTTTAGATAAACCAAAAATGAAAACTAATGCTAGCTTAAACAACACATTAATACACTTTTATAGCAGAGTATTTTTCCTCCCAGAATAACATGTGAGTTATTTCTGTCTTCACCTTTGCTGACCTATCTGTTCTATTACACACTCACATCCTGAGCAGCTGTACTTTTACCACTTACAAGGTGTGGCTCCTTACCCTCCCTAACTCTGCGGGGAAAAAGATAAACACAAAAAAAAATGGCTTAATGCCCAGGAAGGTAATTTAAAAATAAAGAATCAAACACACAATTATTATGACACTTACACAAGCAGTAAATATCACACCCTTCACCTTTCTCTCCACCCTAGGACAAGGATCTGATTCCCGAGCAGCACAGCCTCTATACCACTTACACACGCATGAATACATTTAATGAATCTAACGGACAAAGAGTTCTTTTACTCTCTTTTCTAATCCTCCTAAAGTATAAATGCAATAGAAATTACTTAAAGGCACACCTGGTAAAGTACCAGATCTGTTTAAAAAACTATATTTTCAGAGTGACACACAAACAAATACTGTGAATCCTTTCTACCTATTGAAATATCTCTGGGTTACACAGATAATACGCTCAACTTGAGCAACAAACAAAAGTAGAGTTACTTTATAGAAATATATGCAATTAGATTGGGCTTAGTTGAATAAACTTGGAGATAATTTACATCTGAATTGAAGAAAGCCGTCACAAACAAGGAAAAATATGTCATAGTAAAAGACTTGTAGCCTCCATCCAAACACAAAGCTTTAATCCAATACATCACACTGACTCTTATTTTTCTCAAGAGGTTTTCTCAAAACATATTTTAGATTAAGCACATTTAAAAACACATTTACTAAGCAAAGTAGAAGCTGTTGATCAACCAGAAAATTGTGATGCTGTATCCTCTACTTTGAGCATGGTTCCCATTTTTCCCTTGGTAAACCGTGCAGTGCTCTGAGATGCAGCCAACCTTGACACAGAGTCTAAGTTTTCATTGCCTTAACATACTTTTTCTTTTTTAAAATGCTGCACAGATTTTAATCAGTGAAGGCTGATTAGCCTCTCTTGCACTAGACTTACTTGACAGTAAATTAAGACAGCAACTGTGTTCTCCCCTGTTTTCTAAAACACTAAATGTAATGACAGGGTGGTGCAAATACCAAGGATAAGCCCAAACTCACTGTTGCTGTATTTGTATAGTGGCACCTGGACTATCTGGTGCTTTTTAAAAGTTCTAAATGAAAATCTCATTTTTCAGCTGGAATAAATAT